CAGAGATTAGAGAAGAATCCAGTTTAGTTTTAAGGGTGAATTAGGCACTAGAGAGTTACTATTTTGAATGCAAATTGTGGCATAGAGGTATTAAGATCAAAGAAAGAATATATTCATCAATTTTATCCACTACCAAAAGATTTTCGATAATCATGAGATTAGAAGGGGGTCAGGAAGAAAATGACACTCCTGGATACAAACATACGAGATTAGTGTGATTTCGCAGACTCTGAGTCCATTTCCCCACTGGCTGATAAGAAAAATCTTAAAGAAGTAGTTTATTGGGATCGCAACTGAATCGCATATACTGTGTCAAGCATATATCACAAAAAGAAGAAGGAGGGATCCAGTAGGAAGCGCCTACTGACTACTATGTAATTTGGTTTATTTTGTATTAAGATATACTCTTAACTGATATCTGATAAACATGATATTATTATTTATAAAGCCTGTCTGCAAAAACTATCGAATCATTAGCATATCTAATCTTATTTAGATATTACGTAGAAGATTTATTCACAATACATCTTAAATTACAATGGGAGCAGCAACCTTTGTCTTACTTCTCAATATATCCATATTGCCTCTGCTAACCTTTCATCTACTTTATTATTGGCAGTTTAGTTATAGTAGATATTATGTGATAACTCTTTTGAACCAGTAGATTTTATACCAATAAACACACCAGTCCGCAATAATATCAGCCAAAACACATATAAATTGATATAAATGGTGCTGATATAAATTCAGATCATATTCCACTTAGCCCAATTACAAGTCTGACTAAAAACCCTAATCCAGAAACAGAATAACGAAAGATTAGATACGGATCAACTCAGAAATCCTGAGATAAAAGTCAATTTTCTTATACTTAAAGAGTTTACTTATACTTACAAGAAAAGACAGCCTGGGAGGTTAGTAGAGGAGAAAAACAAATTTATTGTAGACAAAGAAGAATAGTTTGGACATGGAAAATTTACATCAAAAATTTGTTTACAGATTATGGTTATATACAGAGCACTCTTGAACTGAATGGACCAAAGATATTATACTATACATCAAAAGATAGATGGAAAAGCAACAGGATGCGATGAATTTTTGAAAGTTTTCGGTGAGAACAATCTGAATTTAATGTTAGAACTATTCAAGAAGATATACGATACCGGTTAACTACCATCGCACTAATTGAAGTTTACGTTTGTGACATTTCGAGTATTGAATGAACTTACTTGACAAAATGAAAACTTAAAATAGAACTATTATATCTTTCAGGACATTACACTGAGTACTTCCAGATTATTAAAAATTTGTATTGGAATCAAACAGCTCACATCAAGACACCACTATTTTTAAGAGGGTTAGACAGGGCTGCATTCTTTAGCCACTGCTATCCAACCGATATACCGAACGAATATTTGTAGAGACAAGAAGAGTACAATGAAGGCATCAAAATTAATTGCGTACCAATAAGTTATCTTCGATATGCAGATGATACCGTCATATTAGCCGGTTAGAATACTACAGGAATTCAAATTGGACTTTCGGGCCACGAAATGTTAGGTACTCTCTACGCTACTTTACGGAGCAGAAGGGCTGATATTAAAAGTAGCAACTAAAAAAAGTTACAGGCTTTAAAGATGTAGCTGTATCGAAACTATGATACTGAGAATACATGTGACAGAAGAGTGACCAATACAGAGGTATTGGGATGAATGGAATGGATTAAGAAATGAAATTGTTAATAGGTGTCAAAAAGAGGACAGAATCATATCTGGGCATGTGTTTTGTACTGATTAATACAGTATGTTACAGCTTATAGTATAGAGGAAAGCAAGATTGAAAGTAGAAGCGGTTAGCAGAAAGAAAAAAAATTATCTGAGAATCTTGAAAACATTTAGTATGATGGCCGCCAACCTTCGGTGGAAGACGTCACTTAAAGAAGAAGAAGATATTATGGAAGATGCTTGTGTGTTCATGATATAAGCCCGCTTAGTTCAGAATTATTATGAGCTTATCTTGTTTTAAGCTAGAAGAAGAAATAAAGGACCTAAAGTGGGACATAATTATTCTCGCAGAGGTAAAAAGGAAAGGTGAGGCGCGCATAACATTGCAATCAGGTAACATCTTGTATTACAAAGGGCACAAAAAACAAAGTCTAAACGGCGTAGGATTTCTGGTTTCTAAGAAACATGCTAATAAAATAGAACAATATGTGGGAATCTCAGAAAGAATTGCAATGATTGTGATGAATATAAACTCACCCTAAAAAATCACCCTAAAAATCATTCAAGTGTACGCCCCAACTTCAACACACCCCGATGAAGAGATAGATGAGTTCTACGAGAAAATAATAGAAACCAACACGAACTATCACAGCACTTATACACTTATAATAGAAGAAAGTGAACACTATATTGGTGAATTCGGCTATGGTGTTAGAAATGAGAGAGGAAAAACCCTGGTTAACTTCCTACATAGCAACAAATATTTCGTAATGAACACATTTTATAAGAAAAAAAAACCGCAAAGAAAGTGGACGTGGTTATCACCAGACGGAAAAACAAGGAACGAAATCGATTACATCATGTGTAACAAGAAAGGTATCGTAGAAGATGTAACAGTAATAAATAATGTCTCTCTGGGTAGTGATCACAGAATGGTTAGAGCTAAACTAGGGATTAAGTATAGCAAACGTAGAAATAACTTTAATAACACGATACAAATAGACACAGAAAAGCTAAAAGTCGATAAAGAAAAATATGCTACTAAATTAAAAACCGCCCAAGCACTAAATCTAGAACAACTCAGCGTTAATGAAATTAACTCAGTTATAACAAAAGAACTATTGAATGCTAGCTCAGAAGTAGCAACCCGCCATAACAACAAAAAATCCAAAATAAGTGCAGAATCGAAGAATATGCTGAAACAACGAAAAGAGCTCCTGTCACTAAACAAAAGAAATACCACAGAATACAAAGAACTTAATCGAGCCATACGAAAACAGATAAAAGACGATATTAAAAACATCAATAAGAACATGTAGAAAGAGTGATAGAGAAAAATCGGAGTCTGAAATATACCAAACCGAAATTAGAAAGAAAAATATTATAACTATGAAAAATCAACAAGGCCAACTAGAAACAAGCAAAGCTCAGATATCAAACATAGTTGAAAACTTCTATACTGAGTTATACCGCTCAAGAAACGATCCCCCTGACTCTTCAAAGCAAAATCTGAAAAGACAAATAACAAACGTAAATTCTGAAGTAATGCCCGAAATAAGCGAAGCAGAAATAGAAAATGCAATTAAAGAAATGAAAAGACATAAAGCACCGGGTAGTGATGGAATTCTGGCAAAAATGTTGAAAGAAGGCGGAGAAGAAGTCATCAGGTACCTAAAAATACTTTTTAATAAATGCCTATTTGAAGGAAACATACCAAAGGCATGGAATACTGCTAATGCAATATTAATACACAAAAAGGGGACAATACAAATCTGAAAAATTATCGTCCAATATCACTACTATCACAACTTTATAAAACATTCACAAAAATAATTACAAATAAATTGACAACAAAGTTCGATGTATATCAACCAGTAGAGCAAGCCGGATTTAGAAAAGGGTTCAGTACATGTGACCATCTTCACACACTAAAGGTCCTAATAGAAAAAGTTAACGAATACAATTTACCAATCTGTTTAGCATTTATAGACTACGAGAAAGCTTTTGACAGCATAGAATTATGGGCTATTGAGGAAGCACTGGTCAACAGCAGAATAGATTCTAGATATAGTATATTAATATATAATATATATCAACACGCTGAAATGGTAATCACGATGGATAACGGAATGAAAACGAGGCCAATAAAAATCAACCGAGGAGTAAGACAGGGAGACACCATATCTCCAAAACTATTTACTGGCCCACTTGAAGACATCTTTAAATTACTAAATTGGGAAACAAAGGGACTATCGATAAACGGAAAGTATTTAAACCATCTAAGATATGCAGATGACGTAGTACTAATAGCCGACAGCTGGAAAGAACTGAAGACGATGATCGATGAGCTTCATACGGAATCCATAAAAAAAGGACTGAAATGAATCTGAAAGAACTGAAAATGAATCAACCGACGATAACCATCCAAGGAACAAAAGTGAAACATATAGAAGAATACATATATCTGGGTCAGAATATCAAGGTAAACAAAGAACACCAAACTACCGAAATAAGCAGACGAGTAAGAATGGGATGGTCCCATTTGGAAAACTCTCATACATACTGACCGACAAAAAGATACCCCAAAACCTTCGAACCAAAGTGTTCGATTCTTGTATCCTTCCCGTTCTCACTTACAGAGCTCAAACCTGGATATTCACAAAAAAGAACATGGACAAGATTCGAAAAACTCAGCGAGCCATGGAACGACAGATGCTTGGTATCTCACTAATAGATCGGCAAACGAACGAAGCAATCCGGAACAAAACAAAAATAAAGGACGCCGCGAAACAAGCAGCTAAATTAAAATGGAAATGGGCTGGACACAACGAACGTCTCGAAGATGGTAGATGGAAGAAAGAAGTCGGAAACTGGCGACCGTACGATGCGAAGAGACCAAGAGGAAGACCTCAAATGCGCTGGAGCGACGATATCAAAAGAGTCGCAGGACCAATGTGGAAACGCCTAGCACACAACAGAGATGAATGGCGAGAAATGGGAGAGGCCTTTACTCGACAATTCGGATAGAAAAAGGGCTATAAAAAATCTTGTTTTAGTCTATCATGTATTTTTGTAGCCGACAAAACAAATATATCAATACGTCCCTGAGGCCATCTCTGCATCCCTTAATCAAAACTTATTAACTAAAGTGTAGCGGAGTCCTAATTGTGTTTATGACTGCTGCTTTTCTCATTTGTTGTGTATCTTGCTGTGCATCACTTGTCACTCTTGTCCAAGTCCATGTTTTGAAATTAGTTTAATATTTTTTATTATTACCTCTTATAACCTCCGGATGTTCAAAATGGCATATTGCAGTTCCTGATATTGTAGCTCCCGGAGTAAGAATACCTGGATTATCTAGGTGAATTTTTATGGACATTACTATTACCTGAAATTATTAATTATTTATTACATTTCGTAAAATGTTAGTAAATTTAAGTTTACATTTTACAATTAGGTATTTACCAAATTAATTTATTTACCAAAAATACTAAGCCGCTACTGTTTATTGTAAAATAACCTCACATTTGTAAAACGGGGAATAACGTTGTTAAGTAGAATTGAAACAACATTTATGCAGGTTAATCATCATTGCTCAACACATCAAAATCGTATATTTGAAAGTGAATAAGATAATAAATTAATTTTAAAATGGTTTAAAGCTAAAAAACTTTCCAAATTTTACTTTCGTTTCATACACTGACAGTTTATAAGGCTCGGCCTTGAACTTGTTTCACTCAGTTTCAAATATGTAGATATAAATATTCATTGTCATTTGTAATATTTTGTTTAAGTAATAACATCATAAAAGATAACAGAAAAACAATATATAAAAGTATCGACAGCAATATTCACTAGTCGATAATAAGGTTGATGAGGTAGGGTGAGTTCTATATTCAATCATTTTCTCTGATATCTAACGTAATTTTAATAAAATTCAATACAGAAAGTACTTACCGTTTGGCACAATAGTATTTGGTTTTAAGACACACAAATACAGAATACTTGACTCACATACTATGGAAACTCCACGAACCGTTGAATTCTTTATTAGAACAGGTACTTATTCACATATTATGGGAAATACACCTATTAAATCGGAACACGATGATCTCGAGACTGCTGTTGTATAAATGCCATCCAAAGTGTTAATTTCCATCAACATAGCGGTCAAGGATGAATATGAAAATAAACGAAATGGACCAGGAACAAACGTTTCTTTTTTTAATGTATACTTTCTTAAAGACGTGTTTAATACAATTAATATCATCAGAATTTGCTCTATACAACATCACTGCTTCTACTGGTAATTTATTTTTTTAGGTTGTAAATATTAGAACATAAAACATTTTTTGAATTTTTATTGCCATAGACCACTTACTGATATTTTTGGTTTACATAGACTCCCCAACGCCGAATTTTTCGAAATTTATTAGATACTCTATTTAGACTATTTAAGAAAAAAATACTTGTTAATCACTTTGAAATGCATTTTTTGTTTTATTTTATGCAATTTTATGTTTTATTTTATTTTTTAAGCGGTACTAATTGAAACATGGCAATTTAAAATGGTAATTTTATGGCGTCAGAGAGAATATTCCGAGTAAAAACAGATTTTCAAGCAGTATCAGAAAGACTGCTATTTAAGATTACGCGAAAAATATAGAAAAATCAGCATAATTAACGCTCAGGCTCCTACAGAAAAGAAATATATGGAAATAAAAAATGAGTTCTATAAACAACTCAGTGAGTTAATTGGAAAAGTCATCATCATCATCATTGGCTTTTACAACTCTTCGTGAGTTTTTGCCGCGTTTACTATTGCCTTCCATTGATTCCGATCCTGTGCTATTATTTCCCATGGCCTTACTTCCATCTTCTCCAGGTCTTCCCTGACTGCGTCTTTCCACCTTTTTCTAGGCCTTCCTGTCGATCTTTTACCATCTGGTCTTTCCCAAAACACATTGCTAATCAGTCTGTCGTCATCACTCCGTACCACGTGGCCTGCCCATCTTAATCTATTGGCTTTTATGTATCTTACGATGTTTCCTTTTCCGAAGAGAGTCTCTATTTCATTGTTGTATCTGCTCCTCCATTCATTTGTCACGCTGGCCCTGCAAGGACCATATATAATTCGCAGGATTTTGCGTTCCCATACTAATAGCTTATTGATTTCTTTCTTTCTCAATGTCCATGTTTTACTTCCATATGTCACTGCTGGTCGTATTATGATTTTGTACATTTGGATTTTGGCACGCCTTGAGAGAAGCTTAGACCTTAGAAGCTTAGTTTTTTCTTCGTTTATTTTCAGGCCTACGCTTAGTGTTGCTTCTTCAAAGTTCGATACTATATCCTTAACTTCCAGTGTTGTCTGTGCTACTGCATCTACATCATCTGCAAATGCGAGAATAATCTTTGCTCCTCTGGCAGTTATGTCTGGTTTGACTCTGGTATAGATTTTTCGCATTGCGCATTCCAATTCTAGGTTAAATAGTAATGGGGACAGCGGGTCTCCCTGTCTGAGCCCGGTGTTTATGCCGAAAGCCTTTGAAGTTTTGCCTCCTATTCTAATTTGTGCAAAGGAATTGTTGACACACATTCGCGTAATTATGGTCAGCTTCTTTGGTACGCCTAACTCCATCATTGCACTCCACAGTTTTAAGCGATCTACGGAATCATATGCTTGTTTGAAATCTATGAAGATCTGGTGTACTTCTTTATTAATAATTAATAATAATTCCTTAATTGGAAAAGTACCAAAATATAATAATAATCGTGGGGATATAAAAACGAAAGTAGTAAGAGAAGACATTTATATGAACATAACAGATAGTAAAAGTCATAGGGAAAGTAATGACTAATGAAAAAAAAACTAATAGAATTTTCAATGGAACATAACCTTAAAATAGCAAGTACACAATTTGATCATAAAGATGTACATAAAATAACCTGCATCTCTCCAGATGGGAAAATGGTAAACCAAATAGACCATGCTCTTATTGAAAGAAAACACAATAGATCGGTGATGGACTGTAAAAGCTACAGGAAAGCAGATGGCCGACAGTGACCATATTATATTGACAATACCCACACTTAAGCAAGAAATTTCCAAACAACCAAGAAAAGGAAAACAACGGAAAAATACCAGGTAGAGCAGCTCCAAGATAAAGAGGTAGCAAAAATAATAGAGGAAGAAATAAACAAGAGATTGGGAAGAATCACGACCAGAAGCTAGAGGAGGAATGGGAACAAATACAACAAATCAAAAATAGTGAGGTCAACAGCATTGTACGCATGTGAAACTTTATTAATTTAAAAAGAAGAAAAAAAGTTGAAATTTGAGAATTGGGAAAAGAAAGCCTAGAGAAAAAATTTTGAAAAAAGGCAGAGGGATGAATTTGATGCTCTGGCATTTGATGAATTGTTTAATTCATGGCTTCAAATTAGTGAGATGGATTATTATAACCTAACCGCGTTAAAACCCCTTTTCACTAGGTAGGACGATGGGAAAGCTATCAAAAACTTTTTTACGTCAATCCACAATGCAGGATAAGAAAAAGTTATAGTTTTATCAAGCCAGAACTGTTTGTAATCCTTTCTGAACTATGACTTAAGTTGTTTGTTAGTGCTATTTACGATACGTTCTTCTCATATTATAACAACTATTTCTCAAATGTCACAATATGTGTTGATAATCCACTGTGGTACTTTCATAGTCAAAACATCCTTAAATCCAATAGTAAAATCTGCGTGAAGCGCATTTATATGCTGAATGTAGAATAAAATCCTACCACTCTAAACGGTTAACAACAATGACTTGAAGAATGAATTGAGAAACTGGCAGAATTCTCGTCGTCCAATATTTTGCTTCATTAGAATATTTCTGCCAAGATAATCTGCAATTATGGACTTTAGGTCTTCTAAGTATTTAGGGCCAATGATAACCCGAGATGGTACTTGTGTGTGATATATAGAAATGAAAATAGCACGGAGAAATCAAGCCACGAAAGTACTCCAACAATAACAAAATAAATCAAAGAAAGGATCTTCCAGCGCGTAGTGGTGAATATTACTCTATATGAAGCGGAAGTATGGTCAATGATAACGTCAATATGAATGACGATATAATAAGAATAGAGGAAATATGTAACAGAATGGAAGTAGAATGTTCAATTACAAAAAAGTTGGAAAACAGAGCCTGCAATGATATGGGCATGTACAAAGGATACCAGAGCATAGATGACCGAAAAGAATATTGGACTGGGATCCACCAGGAAGAAGATGAACAAGAAGACCTGCGAAGACCTGCTACAAGATGGAAAATGTACATAGGAAATGCTATGATGGATAAAGATCTGAGAAGGTGACTGGGAGAATAGAGTGTTGTGACATAAGAAGACAAAAAAGTAAGAAACCGTTTTATTAATTAAAATACATAAAATTAAGGAATTTGTCGAACTTGGATTCGAACAAGAGACAAAAATAATGGAAATGAAAACGGTACAATACTCATAAACTTAGAAGAAAAAATTATAGATATATTCAAATAATTACATATCTCAGCTCTTTAATGACTTTAGATCAAGGAATTGCGTCTTAACACTATTAGAAGATGCACCTCCAATAACAGCTGATGAGGTAAAACAAGCCATAAAAATAGCAAAAATAGTAAAATAGTAGGGCCATATGAGATTTATTACGCACTCTTAAGAATACTGAACAACAAATCAAATTTATATCTGTTTTGGAGGACCTCTTCAATTGCATATCTAGAAGTTGAATAATTCCAAAAGATTGACTCATATCCATCTTTGTCACACGATTTTTTTTTATTTAGCTTTACGTGTCTCGACAGCGTAGGTCACTGATACAGGTCCAATTGTATTATATTACATTACAAGAATATACAGTAACATTACAGTCGATATTGAAATACAAGTAATATTGTTACAATTAATCATTATTAATTACTCAACTACATTTCTTCTTCTAAATTTCCAGGTTTCCTGGTAAAGCCTGGTTTCATAGAGTTAATTAATAAGGTTTTGGAATTGATCTGGTGAGCTGAGAATATTTTGTAAGTTTTGACTCAAAAGATTCTTTTTTCTCTTGTTGAAATAGGGACAGTATACAAGAATTATATTTAACAGATAGAATGTTACCACAATTTGTACATGTAGATGGAGAGATGTATCTTGGAGAAAAGAGAATAATACAGCAATATGTATGCAACAGAAGAGTGGGAGATTGCAAGATATGATTAAATCTGTACTTTAAGTTACAGCATGTCCATTAGCTATAGGGCTCTTAGAAGCTTCTGTGTACACAATTTAGTTAAATCTGTTGTTAACAATTAATTATTTGAAGGTTTTCCTTCTACATTGTGGACTTATCTGATGCTTATCATAATTAGTTAATGAGAGATTAAAATCTGGTATAAATTTATTCCAGGGAGGTTTAGGTGATATTAATATTGGAGTTGTGGAAAAAAGAATGATACTATGCGGATGTGGTGAGAGATACTGTGGCATAGATTGAAATTTAAAAGGAGAAGGAGAGTTTAAAAGATGATTACTTAGTAATTTATAGGCTGGATTTTCGGTATTAGAGATTTGAGGCAAATATTTCCAAAAGAGTTGCTGGCTGCGTAGCCACAGGGGAAGTTCTTTAGCTTCACTGTATAAACTATCTG